CACCTGACCCACGTGACGCTGTCCTGCTCCCAAAGAAAAGCACAAAATAAGAGAAGACTTTCCACTCTGACGCTTTTTCTGGAGCTCAAAGTGCATTTTGTTGGAGAAAAAAGCAGTTTTGGTTTAAATTTCTGTCCTCAGATCTGCTTTTTGTTACAATCAGTTTGTTTTTCTCCACTTTTTGTGTTTTAAATCTTTTAAAAACCAGCAGGAAGGTGAGATTTAGTGCCTGAAGATGAAAGCTAAACAGTGTAGCACACAGATGGAACCGACAACCTAAATAAAATGTTTAAGAAGTTGGTCTCTGATTTAATAAATGTCTTTATAACCAACTCTCGTATGAACGGTTTTTTTTTTTTTTTTTTTTTTAAATGGTCCTTAGACAATCTCATCTTGAAGTGGAATGTTGTGTGTGTGTATTTTATGAGTGAATTGGATTTAAAGGAGAATAAAATAACTTTTATATTCAGAAATTATAGGAAAAATAGGGAGGGAAGGGGGGGTCAACCCCACCTTTTGAAAAAGGTAAAAATAAAAACAAAAACAAAAAAGTAGACACAGAATAATCTCATCCGATGGATCTGTATTTTTGTTTCTGGTGGAAGTTTAATTTCCTGAAGGGGAACCTTACCAAAGGGATCAATAAGGCTTCTATCTATCTAAAAAAAAAGGGGGGGAGGCTGTAGAGAGGGTGGGGGGTTATCTGTAGTCTCCTAAAGCTCTAACAGAGCTGTTTTACACTTGTTTTTGTTCTTATTCTTATCTTATCATCTTTAGGACAGAGTTGTGGCTCCGTTTGTTCATCCATAAAACAGGCGAAACGTTTCCTACCCGGGGGTCTGTGCCGGTCCCCAAATGCTCCTCTGGGAGGAGGATTATCTAAAAAAACCCAAAACACCAGGCTCCAAATTGGATTTGATCTTGTTTGTGATTATTTTCCTTTTCTTTTAATAGTTTTTATTGTTGTTTTGTTGTTTTCGATCTTAACCCAATAATGCCAAATGTATCATATTTGATTTATACGGTTTCTGAAATGTTTTGTGTCAGACCCCTTTTTGCATAATTTAATGGTAAAAACTTTGCTCAAAATCCTATTGAACACAATCAGATACACCTGATAACAGGGGGCAGAAGACTACACAAAAAATAGTCTTTACTTATCGCATAGTAATAAATTATTAATATTAAAAAAGTATGTCTGTTTTTTCTTTTTATATATTTTATTAAAAGGCCAAATAGGCAAGGCAAGGCAAGTTTATTTGTATAGCACATTTCGTGTACAAGACAATTCAAAGTGCTTCACAGAGAATTTAAAAGCAGAAAAACAAGAAAAGATAAATAATCAACACAATAAGGACAACGACAGCAACAACAGCAACAACAATTCAATTTCCATAGGCACAGTTAAGGATATAAATAATATAAATAAGGAATTCAAACAAAAAAAAAGTAATTTTCTGTTGCCTGTTAAAAGGAAGTTTTTCCTTGCCTGTGTCGCCTAGTGCTTGCTCATGGTGGGAATTGTTGGGTTTCTGTAATTATAATAATAGTTTCTGACCTGCTCTGTTTGGAAAGCTCTGTGAGACAACTGTTGTTGTGATGTGGCGCTATAGAAATAAAATTGAATTGAATTGAATTGAATTTTGCTTTAGTCTTGGATCGGGCTTTAAAGAGTTAAGAATAAAGAGGGGAAACTCCACTAAAAGTAATTAAGATTGATTGGATTAAGATTGATTGGATCTGAGGATCTGTTTGTGATTTAAACTGGTCTAACCAGCTTCTTTTTTAGGTTAATATCATTCAAAACGCGTGAGGAAAATGTGTTTAAATAGATAGATAGATAGATAGATAGATAGATAGATAGATAGATAGATAGATAGATAGATAGATAGATAGATAGATAGATAGATAGATAGATAGATAGATA